GGTCAGCAGCGGAGCGCTGATGCTGGGCGGAGGCCGGGGCACCCCTCCTTGGCCTGCCTCCACATCCCCCGACGCGGGCCTCACCGAAGACGCTCCCAGGGGCTTGGCCAGCCTGCAGCAACGCTCCGCACCCCACGTCCTGCTTCGCTCTACGGCTCCGAGGGGGAAATGAGAATCTTCAGACTGAGACAGCCCCCGGTGCGGATGCTGGGTCACCATCCCTGTGGTTGTCCCTGTCGAAAGCATCCCTGGAAGAGCACTGAAAATTTCCCACCCGCCATCCATCAGGGCCAAGGAGAGGCAGAGGGAGAGTCTAAAACACACCACAGGGCTGGAAGGGAGACCCACCGTGACTCCTGAACTGCGTGGCTTTAAGAAAATAAATGTTTTTTTCCGCAATAATCTTTACAACTTTGAAAATATATTTGAAAGGGAAAGCAAACAAGCACAAAGATGAGGCAGGGGCAGGGACGAGGAAAGGGCTCCACGCCAGAGAGCCATGCATCCAGGGCACGTCCGCCCCTGCACCCTTGCTCCATGCCGAGGTCTTCGCGGCAAGTTACGGTCACGCACACGCAGGGACGAGTTCCTTCCATTGCAGCAGGAACAGGAAAGCGAGTTCATTGCCGAGGCAGTAAACCTCTGGTTTCTGTGCTTAATGTCCAAGACGTGTGGCTGCTGCTGGCTTGTTCGGAGCATTGAGGACACGTGAACTCTGCCTACACTTCCGTAATGAGATTTCCTATCACTAATCTATGACTAGGCCAACAGAGCTTTAATTTCCTCCTAATAGGGACATTTAAGAATTTACCAGGTTATGGAGAGTTCAAGCACGGCCAGGCTTTCCATCAAGAAATCCTAATTCAAATCCTGGTCTCCTTTGACTAACAGGCTCCGATGGTGACATTACATCTGCGGGACCCGGGGCAGCGTCATGGGCTCATCCCCCTGCCATCTGGCCAGAATGCCTGCAGCTGGCTCCGAGCCTCAGAAGAGCTTGGCTGCAAAGTCGTGCAGGGAAAGGCCCGGCTGGAGGCTCTGGGTTGGCTTTATGGGGAAGCAGCGGGGTTCTCCGGTGAAAAGCAGAACTGAGAAGCGCTTGTGGTGCCAGCCAGTCTGGCTGGAAAGCACCAGGCTCCCCTTCCTCGCCCTCTGCCCGCCCCCACCGTAGTGAGGTCCTGTGGCCGCACAGAGGGCTGTTAAGGTCTGTTGGTCACGGACCCCATGGGGCTGACATCCCTCCTTCGTCTCGTTAGACCAGTCGAGTCAGGAAGGGCTGCCCGTTGGCAGGCAGGGAAACTGAGGCAGAGACATGTTAAGGCAATTCTCCCCGACAGGTGATGCTGATGTGCCTCGACTCTCTTTAGTCGGCTCCTGGCTCGTCCACCTTCCGAAGCCTCCTGCCGACGCCATGCCGCGAATACCTCAGGTGCTCCAAACACGTGAAAGTGACTCTGGGTTGTTCCAGAAAAACAGAACCAATAGGTTGTAGGGACATGTGTATATGGAGGCGGGGGGAGACAGTAGAGGGTGGAGATCCTCGTTTTGGGGAACTGGCTCCTGTCATTGTGGATGCGGGCAGGCTGGCAGGCGACTTCCTGGGGGCGCCCACACCCTGCTGTCCTCCCCAGGCTCCTTGCCATTAGATGGGACACGTGGCTGCTTCCCAACGGGCCCCTGGGAGCAGGTGCGTGTGTCCCGTGGGGCCAGGAGCCTGGACCTATGCGCCGGGGCCTCCGTGGGCTCCCCTCCCTGCTGTGGGGGCGCAGACGACCCCCAGGGGGCCGGGCCGGCCGGAGCAGGGCAACTCTCCCCCCGTCCCACATGCCTCGCCTGCCCCGGACACCTGCTGCTGGGATGGGGCCACAGGTGTCCCCCTGAGGCCCCACGAGGGGCCCGGTGAGCCTCTGGCAGGGACGTTGCTCACTGAGGTCACTCACTCGCTCCCCGAAGCCTGGACTCTGGGGCCAGGTGCCCCTGGCAGCGCCCACCGGCGGCATCAGGGCCACGGGGACCATTGCGCAGGCAGGAGAGTGGGAGCGGCATGCGGCGCCTCGGCCACCGAGGAGGCGCCACGGCCTCCACTCCCCAGAAGGGCTGTGCGAGGGGGAGACAGGGTCCAAATCATGTCCCCCTAACTAATTACTCTGATTTATTAACCCAGAGCACCTGGAGCGGGCCCTGGCCCTGACGCCCCTCCTTCCCCACCAGGTGGGCGCCTGCTGGCCCCCGATGGCTCCTTCCTTCTCCCCGTCACCATGATTGTGACAGCGGCCGCCGGGCAGCAGGGAGCGCGAGGGTCACTACAAGCTCAGGGCTCGGACTCGGCCTCGGGGCTGGGAGGGGGGTGAGGGAGGCGGGGTCCCCGGGGACGTTGGGTGCTGGGCTGAGCGCGTGGCTGGACTCGGGGATCCAGGAGGGGCACTGGAGAGGGGCCGGCTGAGTGCCCTGGGTCCCCTCCCTCCACTCCCTTCCTTCCCTCTCCCTCTCCTCACCCCCTCCCCCTCCTGCTCCCCCTCTTCCTCCTCCTCCCGCCCCTTCTCCTCCCGCTCCACCTGCCCCAGGACTGTCGGGAGGCACTAGGACAGCCAGGCGCCCAGCTAGCCCCCTGCTGCAAGTCCCGGCGCCTGCGTCTCACCCAGGCCAGCTCTGCCTCCTTGTCTCAGAGTCGGGAAGCCCAGAGGGTGACCATGTTGGACATGAACCCCTGTGGCCTCAGCGGCGCTGGGCCCAGGTCACTACAATCGGCCTGAAATGCAGTGGGCGGTCTTTGCCAGGGCGCCGCGTGGAGGATCGGCTCAGGCCGCGGCGTGATCGGGGGTGTCGATAATTACTTGGGGAATACACGATCCAACACTTTCCAGGGGCGCCTGGGGGCTCAGCCAGTGAGGCCTCGGCCTTGGGCTCGGGTCATGATCTCGGGGTCCTGGGATCGGGCCCCGCATCGGGCTCCCTGCTCAGGGGGCCTGCTTCTCCCTCTGCCTGCCCCTCCCCTGCTCTCGCTCTTGCTCTCTCTCTTTCCCTCTGCGTCAAATGAATAAATAAAATCTTAAAAAAAAAACAAACACTTTTCAGACACGAGCAATGAGCTGGAACCTGCCCCGTGCGGCCTTTCATGCATTGAAACGGCTGCCACGGGGCTTGGGCGGCGTCACGCTCCGGCCCCGGGGTCACGGGGCAGGTGTGCCCACTGGGCTGACGCCGTGGCAGCCCTCGGAGAGGGGTGGAGGAGGCGGGTGTCTCTGGGGCTCTTGGCGACCTGGGTGCAGCTCCTCAGGCCTGTGGGGAGATGCGTCTCCAGGGGAGGCCCAGCAAGGAGCCCATCAGGGGTCAGGGACACGGCATCCCCTGCGGCCAAATCCCATGCTTGGGGACAGTGTCCCCAGGCAGCCAGTAGAATTGCTCCCAAGGTGAGGAACGAGCGGCTGTTGCTGCCCGGACACGGGACCCCATCCCTGCGGTGCAGTGCTCCTCGTCCTCCTCGTCCTCCTCCTCTTCCTCACCGCACCACACCCCTGCGGGGCTGCCCGTTTCCCAGCTAGGAAAACTGAGCCCACCCGTGCCCGCCGGTTTCCCCACCTTCCACACTCGGGTGCTTCCCTCCTGTGTCGACAGCCCGGCTCTTCCGTCCGGTCAGTCTGGGAAGCCCGGTTCCTCGGCCCCGTCATTGGGATCCCGGGAAGAGGAGCGAGCCGGGCCGCGCACACCCAGCCCCGGGGCGGGGGCATGATTAGCTCCAAGCTGGGCCAGGAATCGGGCCGGACCCCCCCCCCCCGCCCCATGCACCTGCCTTCTCTATGGATGGGCCGGTGGGGAGCGGCTCTTCAGGAGATAGAGACCCACGACCTGGGGATTAGGGCTAGTGCGGGCTGCCAGGTTCTGTGACTCGGGCGCGGCCCCCAACCGGACGGCAGGACGCTCGTCACCGCTGCGGACACCTCTCACCCTGGGCGTGGCAGCCGAGCCTCAGCGCGAGAACCGTGGAGGGAGACACGGAAGGGACGCTGGCTCGGCATCCGGACAACAGGATCGCCGGCATGGGACGGCTAAGACAATCAGGTAAGGGTCCATCGACCCGAGAGGATACAGACAGCAGTTGGTGACAATATGAATACCTGAAAACCCAAAGTTTTCCCAATTTTCTGCCATTTTCAGCAAAAGAACATCATTTCTTTTAAAATATTCTATTTACGGAGCACCCAGCTGGCCCAGGCAGTGGAGCACGTGACTCTCGATCTCAGGGTTGTGAGTTCAAGCCCCACACCGGGGGCAGAGATGACTTAAAAAAAAAATCTCAAGGGGTGCCCGGGTGGCTCAGCTGGTTCAGCATGTGACCCTCGGTTTTGGCGCAGGTCACGACCTCAGGGGCGTGGGACTGAGCCCCACATGGGGCTGCTGGAGATCCGCTCCCTCACTGCTCCTCCCCCCACTCTCCCTTTTTCCCTCTCTCTCTCTCTCTCTCCAAAAATAAATAAATCTTTAAAAAGTTCTAAAAGAATAAAATCTTTTAAAAAGTATTCTATTTGGAATAAGAAGCAACACACGGGATATTTCGGAGTGGCGCTGGGCGGCTCGGTCGGCTCCGCTCCTGCCTTCGGCTCAGGGCACGACCCTGGGCTCCTGGGACGGGTCCCACGCCAGGCTCCCTGCATGGAGCCTGCTTCTCCCTCTGCCTGTGTCTCTGCCTCTCTCTCTGTGTCTCTCATGAATAAATAAGTAACATCTTTTTTTTTTTTTTTATTTACGATAGTCATACAGAGAGAGAGAGAGAGGCAGAGACACAGGCAGAGGGAGAAGCAGGCTCCATGCACCGGGAGCCTGACGTGGGACTCGATCCCGGGTCTCCAGGATCGCGCCCCGGGCCAAAGGCAGGCGCCAAACCGCTGCGCCACCCAGGGATCCCAAGTAACATCTTTTAAAAAAAGAGAAAGAAACAGAACTTCTGCAATAATTGTTGAGAAGAAACTTTTTTTTAAAAATATTTTTGTATTTTTCAGAATGATCAGGGCCTGCGCCTGTGTTTTCCACCAAATGGAACCAGCAGAAGACCTTCTAAAGGAAAGTGTGCCCTGACATCCCAAGTGCCGTGCACGACATCGTGGCTTTGGGGGCCCCCTCGCCTCAAATATGCAATTCCTTGTGCTATTTAAGGATGATCTTTTTATGTTTACTTTAAAGGATTGACTTTGAAGAGGCTAATTTAGCCAAGATGGGGCGGCTTGCAGGTGCAGCTGCTCCGAAGCTCCGACGTAATCGAAGTCAGGCCTCCGTGAGCGTAGTCTCCGGGCCACTTCCAGGGCGTCGGGCGGGATCTGGGCCGTTCCCCTCCCTGGGCCACTGGGACCTGCTCCCGCGGGGGACCCGGCCTGGGCGCTCGCCGCCATCCTGAGGCCGCTGAAGCCGCTGGCGCTTAATGAGGGTATTTTGATCGTTAAACGTAATTGTTTGCTTTTCATACTGATGCCAATCCGTGGGGTAGGGGCAGCTTTGGTGTTTGACTCGTCTGCGTCCGAGGAACAGCCCCTGGAAACGCGCCGCTCCCCAAAATAAAGTCAGGAGGTGACTCAGAGTTGGCGTCTGGCTGTCTACACGGCCCACGTTTTCCTGGAACAAAGGCGAGCAGGAGCTAGACGCGAACCTCCCCTGTGGGGCGCCCGCGGGGACACAGTCCCCGGCCTCTGCCTCAGCCCCCCGATGTGCTGCCTCTCCCCGAACCTGCGAGGGACGCTCTGCTCCTGACCAGTCCGGTTACAGTTGGGAAACTGAGGCACGGGGACCCATTCACTCCACCGGGGCTTCCACCCGGCCCTGGGTCCCCTGCCTGCACCGCGTCCTGACTCCCGCCTCCCCTCGCTCCCAAACCGCCTGCACCCGGCCTCCTGGGAGCCCGAGACGCCTGCAACCCAGTCTTTTCTGAACTGTGCGGGAGGAAGGAGAGTACATGCGTCCTTGGGAAGGGCCAGCGCCACGCGGGTGCTCCGGGTGCGGGGGTGCTCTGGGTGCAGGGGTGCTGCAGGGGAGTGGGTGCTGTGAGTGCACAGGTGCTGCAGGGGCATGGGGTGCGGGTGCTGAGGGTGCTCTGGGTGATGAGGGGGTGGGGGGTGCGGGTGCTGAGAGTGCAGCGGGTGCTGGGGGTGCTCTGGATGCTGGGGGGTGTGGGGTGTGGGTGCTGAGGGTGTTGCGGGTGCTATGAGTGCTCTGGGTGCTGCGGGGGCATGGGGTGTGGGTGCTGAGGGTGCTGCGGGTGCTGAGAGTGCTCCAGGTGCTGCGGGGGCGTGGGGTGTGGGTGCTGAGGGTGCTGCGGGTGCTGAGAGTGCTCCGGGTGCTGCGGGGGTGTGGGGTGCGGGTACTGAAGGTGCTGCAGGGGTGTGGGGGTGCGGGTGCTGTGGGTGCTGAGGGGGTGTGGGGTGCAGGTGCTGAGAGTACTGCAGGGGCTGTGAGTGCACAGGTGCTGCAGTAGCCATGGGGTGCAGGTGCTGAGGGTGCTGCAGGTGCTGCAGGGGTGTGGGGTGGGGGACTGCAGGTGCAGGGCCGTTCACCCCCGGGCAGCCGTCCGCTGTCCCTTGCCTCTTTCCACAACACTCTCGGCCTGCCTCCCCTGCCATGGGGTCGGTCCCCCACCTCGGGCCCCAGCAGGCCCTGTGCCAGGCACAGCTGTGTGCGAGGACGGCCTTGGCCTTCAGTGGCCACCTGGCTCTGGTTTCAGGGAGCGATTTGCCCCCACCGCCCCCATTTGGATGGAGTCCCAGCATTTTGTCCCTGACCCAACGCTCCCCTGCACGGCCGGGGGCTCTGGGGCGGGAGGCTGGTGCCCGGCTGGCAGGTTGCCCGCAGAGGCCAGGCAGGGCCTTCTGGTCAGAAGCGAGGGCCACTCGGGGGCGTCCACACCGTGGGTGTCCACGGGGAGGCTCTGAAGCAGCGCCAGGAGGCACGTGCTTGCCCCAGTTTCTGGCTTAGCAAGCGTGGCAGGGATCCCCCCACTTCTCGCCTCCCTGGGCTGTCCTGGGTGGTTGGGCTGGAAGCGGCGGAGACCCCAGCCCCCTCCGTCGGCACCACGGCCCAGCCAGGCAGCAAACCTGGGCCTGAAGCGGTGCCAGCCACCAGCTCGCAGCTCCGTCCCGCACAGAAGACGCGTGTTCTCCCAAAGAGACATGGGTGGCACCGGACGGCCCCGGGTAGCTCTGCAGACGCCGGGAGCCTTGACGTCCAGGGGGCCCGCGCCGCTAGGCTATGCAGCTGGGGTGGGGTGAGCGCCTGTGGGCGGGGGGAGACTGTGTCCCTGTGACCTGGCGCCTGGCCTCTCGAGTCTGGGGCCCGGCAGGAATCAGAGCAGCCCCCCAGCCCACATCCCGCCCCTGCGTCCGGCTCCCCCTCCCTGACGCTCCCTCTGGGTGGCTGGGCCCCTGGACCAGGCCGGCTCCCCGTGGGTGCGGCAGAGGGATCCCAGGGGTCGTCGGGCTGCCCTGCTCCCCTGGGCTCAGTGGCTGGAGGGACAAGGCCACAGCAGGAAGGGGACAGCCGCGGAGTCCCCGCTGGCCCCCGCCTGACTTCCAGCTTCTAGACGGCATGACTCTCTGCTTTCCTGGTTCCCCCTGGTGGGGGGGAGCGTGGGAAGCCGAGGATGGTGTCCATGCGTCTTGGGGCCAAATAAAGCGGGTGACGCGTGCGGAAATCAAATTCTATGCAGAAAACAAATGCGTGCGGCCTACGGAGTGCTGCTCCGGGGAAGGGGCCTCTTCTCTGCTCCCCTGAGCTCCTCGTCAGGATGACACTGGGCACGCCGCAGGGGGTCTGGTCCTGCACCCCTACCCCCCACCGCAGCTGCTCCCCGCCAGCCCGGCCTCCCCGCCAGCCGGCACCACGCGGCCCCAGCTCCCACGCCCTCATCATGTGAAGGTCCTGAAGCCAGATGGCGGCCGGCCCTGGGGGGGCTGTTCCGGCAGGGCACCCGCAGCAGTGCTGGTTCGGGCCCCTCACTGCCCCCGGGGCCCCCTGCTGGGCTGCAGCTTCTCCGAGCCTTCATCTCCCCCTCGGCCGGCTTCCACCCTGCCCTGCTCCGATCCCCGGAGATATAATTGTACCCCGGGGTTATTATTTGGCCTTTTAGATCTACTCCATTTTTTCCATAAAATTGAAAAAAAAAGAAACCAACAACCTCCCTTAGGTGCTAACCTGCAGTCACAATGATGCCCCACGGCCAGAGTCCCTTTCTGGCACCAGGCAGGTGGGCCAGCAGCACCTGTGCAAGGCCTTTGGCCCCACACCTGGGGCTGGGGCCTCTCTCCTGCCGGCATCGAGCGCGGCCCGGCGTGTGCGGAGCATCCAAGCCTCACGTCAGGGTCGGCCCCAAAGCTAAAGCAATAACTGAGCGTGTCCTCGGGGCGTCTGGGCGGCTCCGGCGGCGGAGTCTGGGACTCTGGATCGCAGCTCAGGGCTTGATCTCTGAGTCTTGAGTTCGAGCCTTGCATAGGGCTCCACGCTGGCCATGGTGGAGCCTGCGTAAAATAAATGTAAATGAGTAAATAAGTAAATAAATAAATAATAAAATCTTTTTAAAAATCTTAACAGAATCCTAATGACGATGTCTTCGCCACTTGGCCTGTGATGTAGAGAGCCTCTGCTCCCCTGGACTTTCCCAGGAGAAAGGGAAGGGCTTCCCAGGGACAAGCACTGCAAGGTCTGCGGTTGCAAGTGGGTCCGCCTGAGGTAGGTCCTCCTGCAGGTGGATCCTCCCGCAGCTGGGTCCTCCCGCAGTTGGATCCTCCCGCAGGTGGATCCTCCCGCAGCTGGGTCCTCCCGCAGTTGGATCCTCCCGCAGTTGGATCCTCCCGCAGCTGGGTCCTCCCGCAGCTGGGTCCTCCCGAGGTGGGTCCTCCCCAGGTGGGTCCTCCCGCAGCTGGGTCCTCCCGAGGTGGGTCCTCCCGAGGTGGGTCCTCCCGCAGCTGGGTCCTCCCCAGGTGGGTCCTCCTGAGGTGGGTCCTCCTGCAGCTGGGTCCTCCTGCAGCTGGGTCCTCCAGCTTCGCTGGCTACGGGGAGCACCAGCTTACACTGGAGCCCCCGGCCTTCATCCCCCGGGATGGACGGTGCCTCTGGATGCCGCTCAGTCTACAGGTCCCTGACGGGCCAAGGAGGAGGCGGGGAGGGTGTTGCTGCCCAGAGGGGGCCCAGGGCCCTGCGATCACAGTCGGAAGCCCTGCGTAGGCCACAGTGTCCTCGGGCAACAGATGAGACGCCCGACCGCGCGGCTGCAGCTTGGGAGACCCTCGGGTGTCGCGGTGACCTCTCGGCGCGAAGCTCTTGTACAGCAGCTGCGTGTTGCGTGGGAGGCCACAGCCCCGGGAGCGTGGGCTGCGTTCCTGGAGGGAAGTCCATAAACCGTGGCCGCTGATTCATCGAGACCGTAAAGCAGTGACGTCGGCGAAACGGAGAGGCGGGAGCAGGGCACCCGGCAGCCGCCCCTGGGGAAGGGCCCATTCAGACGACGCTCTCCTGGGGTTCTTGCGCCCCGCTTGGCTCCCGGGGGCCGCTGAGGCCTCAGTCGGCTCCAGCAGGACAGACGCCCTCCTCCGACGCCTGGTCATCTCGCGTCCGCCTTTTCCTTTGCGAGCCGCGTCTGTGGGCCTGAAGGTGACGCGTTCCTCTACGGTGGCTTCGGGGCGGACACCGTGCCTCCCTGGCCCTCGGGCGTCCTCACGATGTCACCGAACAGGCCCTTCTGGCTCCGGCTGTCCCTGGTCCCAAGGCAACACTGCGCAGCCCCAGCGGCGCTGCATCTGAGGGTCCCTCCCCGTGGGCCCCGAGGGCCGCCCGCCAATGGCCGTCTGTCATCCGCGTGTCTGCAAGCACGAGGCAGGGGGAGGATGCGTGGGGACCCCAGGCTGGGCAGGAAGGGGACAGTGTCCTAGCTCAGTGCTGTCTGAGCGCGGGAACTCCCTCACTGAGGACCCCCGGCCCTTGCGGTGTGGCCGGGGGCTCCGATCCACGTCATCCGCACGCCAGGCCATGAACCAGCGACGCGTTCGGAGCCATCGAAACAGAGGAAGAGAAGTACATCTCACCCCGACTCCTAAAACTTCTACCTGGGCGTGACTCGCAGCATTTCCTCCCACACTTTGATGCACAGAGCAAGTCTCGTGGCCGTAGGTGCCCCCCAGCGGCAGGGGCAGCGGCACCCTCCTGGTGCCCGGAAGGAGGATGAATGCCCACCCTCTGTGGCCGGGTCACTGCCAAAAGGATCCGAGCCTTGGGGCGCCCGAGGGGCTCAGGGGGTGAAGCGTCTGCCTTTGGCTCAGGTCACAGTCTCAGGGTCCTGGGATCGAGTCCCGCACCGGGCTCCCTGCTCGGCGGGGCATCTGCTGCTCCCTCCGCCCCTCCCCCTGCTCTGCTCTCTTGAGTTCAGTCTCTCTCTGTGTCTCAAATGAATATATAAAACCTTAAAAAAAAAAAAGTGATTCAGCCCTGACTGCACATCTAGCCCGTGGAAGCCACACCTCCCCCCGCCCCCGGCCACCAGAATGTGGCCTTGGCCGTGGTGGCCCCCTCTCCAGCGAGGGACACAGCCACGCCCAGCTGTTTGCAGGTGAGGCAGGTAGACCTCGGCTGCCCTCAGGGCCCGGGGGACCCACCCAGCTCTCCAGACTCTGCTGGACTGTCCCTCCCTCGGAGGGCAGGTTGAGAGGGCCCGGAAGTACCCGTGCTTCCCCGTGGATGGAGACAAACGCTCGGTGCACCGAGTCTCCCGCGGATCATTTCTCCCGCCTTCCTCGTATCTCCTGGAGGAAGGCAATGGATTAACCATAACGTGGGTTGTGCCACATGCATGCATTACCCACTCAGCCTCCGGGAACACAATCCTCTTACACTTAGAGGCCCAGACACAGGGGGTTGCAGTCCCCACCTCCTGTCTTCCCAGAGATTTCTAGAACCCCTGGGTACATCTGAATCTTTGAGCACTCTCATCACCTCCATCACCCCCATAAGAAAAATCCAGGTTAATGTAATTGTGTGTTTGAGTAAAAAGCACGCTTGCATGCACACGCATGAATAAAATCCCTCCCCCGGCAGACAGCTGAGCCACCGCACGGACTTTAGAGCCATCTGGCTCCCGGGAGCTGGGAAGCTGGGTTGGCACAAGAAGGTCTGGAGGCAAAGGTTCTGAAAAGGACGATTGCTGTCATCCTGCCCAGAGCATGGGGGTCTGAACAAGGTAGAAGTAAGGGACACGGAGCAAGCGTGCGAGAAGCCTGAGTGGACAGGACATACTGATCTTTCTCGTGTTCAGTGAAAATGGCACGTCTGTAAAAACATGCGGGTGTAGACAGAGGAGCAGGCGATCGCCCCATTCTGCTGAGTGCGTGCGGGTGGACCCCGAGCCCTCCCGTGCCAAGTCCCCGCTGCCGGAGAGGAGAGGCAGCTCGGGAATGCCTCCCAAGGGTCACAGAGAAGAATCCCTTTCCAGGAGGCGACGGGGTTTCTGACAGCAGAGCCACACGGTGTACACTTGTTGGGTAACGTGTCCAGTTCCAAGTTTCTCGGCACAAAGGAGATCCCAGGTTACGCAGGTTTCAAGTCTGGACAACACAGAACAGTTGCCTCCAGCAGTGCAGACTGGCCGTTTCCTGCAGCGGAGCCCACGCGGGGGGTTATCACTAGTAGGACAGTAGGACAGTCTTGAGCAAGAAACAGCGTTGGCACAGAAGAGGGGAGGGTTTCGAGGGGAATCCGGGAAATAAAATCCACAGAACAAAGCCGATGACAAAGTGGATGAGTCGCTGACAGTGTCCCAGGAGACGAAGGAGGCTGCTCTGGGTGCGGAGTGTTGCCGGAAGCCAATGGAGCAGCGCGCAAGGTCGGTCCCACGAGCCGGCCGCGGGGGCTCAGGTCGCCCCAGGGACCGGGCCAGGCGGAAACGCTAGGGGGGGTGCGACGGGTGGGCGGCGGCTGCGACCCTGAGAGTTGATGCCATCGCACTGGCTGAGAGTGAAGACGGAGAGCAGTGGCCTTGGGGACAGTCACGCTGTGACCGGAAGAGCAGGCCATGACCCTGGTGGGGCTGGGGTCCGCGACTCCAGGCAGAATCGCGTCCTGACCGAGGATCCGCATTGTGGGTGGACCACAGGACAACTGGACGCTGGCGGCGTGTCCTCTCCAAGGACGGACACCCGCGGCTTCCCGACCTACCTGGTGAGACAGATGCGGGCTTCTCCGCCCTCCTCCCCAGCCACGGTTTCCATGACTTTGTGGCCAAACAGCTCTTCTCTCCACCCGCCAGGACCGTATCCTCCGACCTTTCCAAACAGTAATCCCGTTGTAGGAGGAAGGAGGAAGAGCAAACGTGCCGAGGAGCCGAGTGGTGGTGACCCACCAACTCTTTGAGAAGGCTTCTTAAAAAGATGATTAAAAAATAGATGGATGATTTAAAAAAAAAAAAAAAAGATTTAAAAAAAATGGATGATTTTACTTTTCAGTGATTGACATAAGAAACCGAGCATGAATCAATGTGTAGATCTTCTGAATGTGAGAAGAGAGGCGAAATCATAATCTGAGACTCAAGGACCAAGTTTGGTTTTTCTACTTCCAAGCCTCCTATATAATAAATAAAACACAGGAAAAAAAAAAAAAAGAAATCTCAAGAAAAACAACTATGAGAGATCGCTCCACCTACCAGCCTTCGCCCCGCTGTTCTGCAAAATAAGGACCAGCACCGTGGACTTTCTAAAACTCGTAAGTTATTTTGATGTTTTTTTAATGATGCAATAACCACATGTAAAATAGGGTGAAAAAATTTATGCGCTGCTCTTGGAAAAAAGTCGAGTTCTCTACTTGTACCGAATACAAACCAGTCTATCTTTTTAATAATATTCCAGAAAGGTCATATTTACCTGTTCAACGTGATATATCGAAGACAGAAGTAAGTAGAGCATTAGATCATTTGTCTTCAAAATATTTCAGGTCTGAATAAAAGAGGATCAGATGCAAGCAAAGCCAGCTAATTTCAAGCTTTTTAAGATGCTGCATGAAAGGCAACATCCCCCCACTTCCATCTGGCCCGCAGGCCTGCAGAACCGCTCAGGAAGTCCGCACCCCGGGGAGCTGCCGTCCTGGCTCCTAAGAACGCAATCGGTGTTGGGACCCTGGAAGGTTCACACATCTTAAAAATCAGCCTCTCCGTGTTCCACGTAAGGAGGGACCGAGGGGTTATTTGGCGACACGCATTAAAAGAGAAGTCGTTTTGACGGTAGAGTAACACAGAGAGAGAAGTTAAGAGAGTTTTCTTAAATAAAACTAGTATTTTTTTTTTTTAGGGTTTAAAAATAAAGTCATCTCAAAAAATAAAAAATAAAAATAAAAAGTAAAAAATAAAAATAAAGTCATCTCTACACCCAACGCGGAGCTGGAACTCCCAACCCCGAGATCAAGAAGCCACGCTTCGATCGGCGAATAGAACCACGTGTGTGTACACCCACGTCCCTGGCACATGGCTAGGCTCCAACTA